TTTTTGCTTTTAGCAACCTACACCAAAACCCCTATTGTCAGTGCCCTATTTTTTTCTATGTAACAAGCAACACCTCAATTTAAAATGTAACCAACCAAACGTCGCATATTATTTTTTTTTCAGAAAAAGTTGCAAAACATTTTTCCTACTCTTCCGTGTAAAATTTTTCCATTCGCAATCAATTATAACACTTCACCGCTTTTTCAGCCCCTTTATATGCAGGAAGGGACTTTTAGAGACTCTAAGTTTTTTTTTCACAACTTAAAATCTACACTTCGGATGTGAATCAAAAATATAAAAATGGTGACAATAAGAATAGAAGTATTCTAGCTATTTGTTGCTGTTGGGTCTATGTTTTGGTTATATTTTGTTTTTCATTTTTGCGAGGATTACAAATATTTTACTTTCAATTTGTTAATTTCATCTTTTTATTTTTCAAACTGCTACAATACAGGCGAATAAAAATGAAAGATCGTTTTTGTTAAATTACATGACTGAAGTCGATATGCCGGTTAATATATACTTTTTTCGACATTATCTCGTAGTTGGTGTTGTTTTTTGTTGTTGTTGTTGTTGTTGGTTTAATGGCCGCTGTTTCGTTTCTATAAAAATCGTGTAGAGTAGTGGTTATACACTGGATCGTTAGTTTTTATTGTCATCTTTGTCATACATGATAGCACTGTAGTTTGATGCTTGTATTGTTCTTCTACAGTCAACGTTTTCGTGTTTTTATATTAAATGTTTATAGGTATGTCATAATTGTTGAGCGTGTCAAGGAGATAACTAAGCGTTGAAATGTGAAACATTTTTGACGTGTTCGCTGGACTCAGATGTGTAACAAACTGGTAGTAGTTATGTTGGCACAGGGTTTTGGTCATTTTGTTCTGGCGTGTTATTATCTTGAATGTTTTTGTGAATGTTTGTGAACAGGAACTGCATGAAATAACTTTCATCTGCTATTAAATTATTAAAATAACTCTGACGAAAAGTTTGTTGCAGATGATGAAACAATTAAAAATTTCTTACTTTTAATTTAAAATTGTAATAAAACTTGATTTCAGTTTTCATCCTGTGCCAATTATATATAGAATTACACACACACACACATACATACATACATACACAAACCACACACACACACACACACACACACAAAATACACACACACACAAACCATATATACACACCAAAACCCACACACAAGATGAAAAGCTTCACTGAGTGCTCAGTCAGATACATGAAAACACATAAACACATAGCACGTATAGGGTGCATTCAATCATTGAAGTTCACAACCACCTTGTAGACAATGTTTACAGCAATACACTTATTGGTTCAATAATTAAAATAAATTCACAAAGCAAATAAGAAGAACTATGAAATTAATGACCAATTAGACCAAAAGTTTTATATTACCAACTAGTTACAAATAGGATAAGTCAATTAATTAATTAATTAATTAATATAATAAATAAATATAAAAAGATAATTTATTACGAAAAGACAAAAAACTTGGCTGTGATCAAGATACATTCGCTGGATTGGCTGACATTCAAAGGAATGTTGCATGAGGTTGACAGCCGTCGATACTAAGAAAGTTTACCAGCCAATAAATACGTCGAAATGACAACCACAACGATATCAAAGTTAACACTTGCCACATATATAACCCTTTTTATTCTGTTTATTTTTTTTATTTTGTAATATCGTCTTGCGTGTTGAAACAGATTCTGCCTTTGTCAGATTTTGATATTTTTTAAGAATAAAAAAACTTACAAAGGGTTAAAACCAATTGTTCATAAATAAGCCACCAACACAAAAAAAAACAAGATAAGAATTAGTAAAGGAGAAAAAATTACGCAAAAAAACTAACCCAGCAAAAAATTACAAATCACTGAAGCACTATGCATCAATCGATATGAACCAAACAGCTTAAATCTAATCAATCTCTCTCTCCAAAACTAATTAACTCTATCTACATAAGTATCATTTTATTTGAAGTTTTCCTGTCTTTTTTTCGTATCCTACTCAGCTACGTTAAGATAAAAACTTTTAACCTGAAAATGACAATAAAGTTCTGAAACATTACCAGATAATAACATATATACTTCATCCTTGAAAACCTCAATTTCATCTGAAATATAAAAATTTAAAAAACAAAAAACTTTTCCACCTGCAAAACTATAAAAACAACAGACAAAGCAAAACATTATGCCCAACGTGAAATCAACGTGTCAAATAATTCCAACTCACATCAGCAGAATGCATTACCGAGTGTTTTTAAATTCACTCGTTCATGGTCCGCCAAGTATGGCAAGTTGATCAAGTGAACTGTGTGGCGACTCAATTCAAAAAACATCTCACGTTATCACGTATTTCTCTTTCGTTGGATGATGTTGGTGCAACAATAATGCCAGTTTGTAAAAAGCATTTTATTGAAAGCAATGTTTATCTGGATTTAGTTTATGCTAATTTAAAAAAAATTAATTGTGTTTAGTTTAGCATTTAAGTAAAATAAGCAAAAGAAAGCTAGTGATTTTGCTGCGTGAAAAAAGACGAAGAAAATTAATATTTATCTTTAAAATATTGAATTATTATCAAGTTTTAACAGTGTTTTCAATCATCTAATCGAGTATTTTGACGTTTTTGAAAAACATGTCAAATCCATCTGAATTGCCTTCTTTTATGTCTCCTTAAAACTCTTTTATTTGTTTATTACCGGCAATATTTCTTTGTCAGCGTTAAATTCGTGCCAATTTATTTCCATCATTATTCATCATACAACTCACATTTGGAAAAATTATAACCGTTTTTGCATCGCTTCTTTTCCGTCCATGTTTCTGAACTCTTAACTTCAGCACTACCGACCAAACAAATGTGATTTTTTTTTCCAGTTCTACATAAAAATATTTTGCATGAACTATCATATTTCTTTTCATTGGATGCATTTTTTGTAGCGACAATTCATTTTTGAAATTATTTGATACAATATTTATTATGCAAACTAAAGATCGATTTTTTCTTCTTTTTAAACGGTAAACATCAAAACCTACTGACAACTCCATCTTATTATTTTCATGAGTGCTTGGTTATTAGAAAATTTGTCTGCCTGTATCATCTTGCCTTCTATTGTTATTACATTTTTAACATATCCCGGTACCTTCTGCACTTGTTCCAAATTACAGAAGGGATGAGTATTATTTTGTTATGACTATTTTTTATTTTTGTTATTAAATTTTTGTTACATCATTGTTGTTGTTACTGTTGTAACATTTTAACGTCGTTACTACCGAAGCCAATATTATACCTATAAAGATCTCTATTTCCAAAACCAGTGTTGTAGCTTCCAACAATCTTCAAGTGTTTGTTATTCCTTAGGTTCAAGATTTCCGATAGATGAATAGAATAGGTGATGTAATTGCAAACTTTGTTGAACGTTTTTTTAACACCAACAGTAATAGAAATACTAAACTAATCCAAGTAACTACAAAAACCACAATTACAACTTCGCTTTAAACCTCGCTTTAAACTTCGCTATTCGCAACCCCATATATAGCCTCTACGGTAGATTTTTACAATCCTCAGTGGCATGAAAAGATTCTATGGCTCACAATCGATGACAAACAGCAAAGTCAAGTAATATAAAAAGATAACATTAACTAATTATATAGCGTAATTCCACCATTCCAATATCGAAATATGTTGAATCAGTCAGTTGAATTTGAAATAAAGCGACGAAACATTCAGCATACAAAAAGAGACATGAATAATTTTATACGGCCTGCTCACGAACGTCACTATCGAGAAAGTTGAAACGAGGGATAATCGCACGGAATGCAGATAACAAAGAACGGTCGACCTCAATGAGTTCGTATTCACTAAGATATATATCTAGAGATGACAACGTCAATCCATGTGTTTATCAAACTTAGTTGAATTAAACTGCCTGAACCATTACATTATGTTGTAATTTATATTACTTTTGAACATTTTTCACCAGACTTTTCTGTCACCCAAATGTTAATCTACTAAAATCCCCATTGTGTTTATAAGTCATTTGGTCTAAAGATAACATTAAACGCTTCGTGAAGGTAAAGTTCAACATTTTTAGCAGATGTTTGAACTGTACCATGCAATCGCATTAATCATCATTTTTAAGTTTTTCGCTATTACCTGTCCAAATCATTTCAATGATTTTTAATGAAAAATTTAATTTATTTTTTTTGTGATATTTTAAAATACCAATTTATTATTTTTTTCAATTCAGATACTTTGAAAACACCTTGCTCAAGAATGTTTTGACATGAACTGTATCAATTTTTTAATGAAAACTTAAAAAGAAAATTCAAAAACTTATGCAGCAACAAGTGGTTCATTAGTTAATTATGAAAATTCACAAGCAAAATGATTCAAAGTTGAAATCAAAGCAATTCACCTATTTAAAAACGAACAAAAGCTCGGCACCCATTAAAAACATCATTGAGGAAAATTCTTTCCTAAATAAGTCAAACAGCCAACCTCTGTCGCCATTGTTATCATCAAAGAAAATATCCAAAACATCAGTTCAATGTGCAACAAACTCGTTCTTGACTTTACGTCTATGTAATATTAAACTTGAAAAACTTTCAACAGCTTCACTTCGAGTAGGCATCAACCATGTTTGTCGTACGACGAACAGTGATAAAGATATCAAACATATCAACTTCGAAACTTATAAAAACTTTGTAAATAAAGATTTCAGTTTACATTCAAAAGACACACAACATCGGATTAAAAAGGTAAATTATTTATTGCAGCTCTCAATATTTCTGACATCAATCATGATTATCCTGTCGTCATCTTCGACGCATAGTCACCAGCTAAAATATCAGATCAGTGAAGAGCAGCCAGCCAACACGTTCATATGCAACGTTATCAAAGAGGGTATGACCAAATTTAACAAAAAAAATAATTTAAACGAGAAAATGGACGAACCAAAAACAATTGAAAAATTTGATCAGATGCGTTTCAAATTTTTATCCGAAAAAACTAAATTATTTTTCCGAATTGACGCGATAACAGGTGACATGGCGACAGCCATCGTCATTGACAGAGATCTGCCGACGTTATGCCGACAGAAAGAGGCATGCGAGTTGGCAGCTGATGTCATGGTCACGCAGCCCATCCGATATTTCCAAATAATTCGGATCGTCATAGAAATAATCGACCTGAACGACAACAAGCCCATCTTCCTTGAAACTTTAACAACGTTAGAAATTAATGAGGCGACCATTGTGAACAGCAGCTATTTGTTGCCCACTGCCACTGATTTTGATAATCCTGCGTACGGAATTAAAAATTATTTTTTGATCAATTCTCCAGAAGAGTTTCTACTTTCAGTTTCGCCAAAATTTGATTTTAGTTTAGACCTTCGTCTAGTGCTGAATAAAAAACTGGACAGAGAAAACATATCAGGTTTTATATCTAATTTTTTTAAATCAAATATTTGCCAATTAATATAAATTACAAAGTTTTATTTAATTCTTATTTGGTTAAAAATGTTTTAACATTTAATTTTTACAAAATGTATAACTTCATGACGTAAAACCAACAACAGGTTACAGATTGCTGTTGATTGCCGTAGATGGAGGCAGCCCCTCACAAACCGGCAGTCTCTTCATCGACGTTATCGTAACCGACTCTAACGATAATCACCCAAAATTCAATTCAACCAGATACGAAATCAGCATTCAAGAGAATGCCCAAATAAATAGTGTCGTCATCAGACTTGAGGCGTTTGATCCAGACGAAAACAACAACGGCTTTGTTAGGTACAAATTCAGTCCAAGAACAGTTTTGCTTCATGGAAAAATATTCGACATCCGCCAAATTACTGGCGAAATAATTGTTTGTGGTTCTGTTGACAGAGAGAGAACGAGCCAACATCAATTGGTGGTAATAGCGTACGACGAAGGTGTTAACGTGATGTCCTCTGAGACGACCGTTGTTGTGAAAGTTGAAGACATGAATGACAACGCCCCACAAATAACATTCAACACTCTCAACGGACTCAACAAATCAAATAATTTGTTCAATCAGTTGCAGACAGAAATTCCAGAAGATTCACCGGTGGGTTTGTTTGTGGCTCAAGTGAACGTAGTTGACGTCGATGCTGGCGATAATGGCCTGGTGAACTGCTCAGTGTTGGATAAAACGTTTGCTCTTATAAGAAAATATCCAACTGAGTTTCAGCTGGAGGTTGCGCAACCGCTAGATAGAGAAAGGACCGATGTTTACAATGTAAACATTCGATGTCACGATATGGCTGAGGTATCAAGGTTTAATGAAAAAAGTTTGAAGATTATAATAACAGATGTAAATGACAATTGGCCAGTGTTTCTACAACAAATATACAAAATTTCTCTGTTGGAAAACAATCCTATAGGTTTTACCCTGCATCAGGTTTGTTTTGTGAATTTTAAATTTATTGCCACATTAGCTAAAAAATTTTAAAAATCACATTGACAAAAAATGAAATGTCAAATTTTTTTTTATTAGTGCGGTGAAAATAAATTAAAAAGTATATAATATGTTTATTGTATTATTGTGAAAAATATATAAATCATAGAGGTTTTACAGCTCTTAGAGCAAATACAAATATAATTATTAACCATTCTCAACTGAACCAATCCATTAGGTGCATTTGATGTCCTTTAATTAAGAAAATACAACTTTGATAATAAAACAAACGGTTTAAGAAAAAATTTTGATAGTTTTTTTTATTCCATTATAACAGTTTTTAAATTTTGCTAGAGCATACTTTTGCAGACCAAAAAAATTACGTCACATCCAAGGAACTGTGCGCTATGAACCAAGCACAGCAGACGTATGTGAAAAAATGTAATAACAAAATTGTAATTAAAAAATTAAGTTATCAGATTTATAAAATGATAGTTTAGTCAAATTTGTAATCATATATATGGCTCAAACAGAAAACATTTTATAACTTCTTACAATTATTTCTAATTATTTTTTATTTGTTGCTTTACAACGTCCTTTTAAGTTTATAGTATTAGAATAACCACACCATTTCACACATTATTGAATTTTTGGTTCCAAATTAACGAATGAATTTTTAAAATGCTGTGCGATGAACTTTTCTGATTTATGTTCAATTCACGTTAGGATATGTTAGGTGAAAAAATAATGCTCATTAATATAATGCATTCGTTTTTATTCTTCTTTTGGGTATCTTTAATTATTTTAATTGCTTAACTGTCTCGAACAAATCTTCGAGTGCATTGATATGTTAAACGTCGACTTAATAGTATGAGATTTTTGCTCGTTGGACCGAAATTTTAGTACATTTTAAACAAGGTACATCCTCTTTTAGTACGTTACATCCCTGTAGATTTCGTACTTCATTTCCGAGTGTACTTTCTAACTAAGTTGATTGTAAGAATGTACTGTACTATTTATACCTATATTCAAACGTATCATTTATCTTATTTATTTTAAAATAAGCATATAACATAACATTACATAACATGGCATGACATAACATGACATAACATAATGGTAAAGTAAATGGGCTCAGACTAAAGGTCCTTATATGCCCCTTTGGATAGTAATGTCAAAATAAGAAAATAAATAAATGCTCATTTGACTTGTCTATCGCCGGTAGTGATTTTAAGAAATATGTTTGGATGTCGATTAGCTTTCTGTTTATATAACAGTTTATATTGTTAAATTTATGAAATATGAGAAAGCCAAAAATAGCCAAAAGTTATATTTGCGTTCATTAAAATGCATAACTTTTACGGAATTATTTTTTTAAATTATAGAATTTTTACTAAATATTGTAATGCTAAGGTCAGTGCAACTGATAAAGACCTAGGAGATAATGGTTTGGTACGTTATTCCCTTAGTGGAGTGCATTCAGCAAAATTTCACGTTGACCGGCAGGGTGTTGTCACAATTCATTTTACAGCCGACAGAGAAACTCAAGACATTTACGAAATAACCGTTCTTGCCATAGACGGAGGTTCAAACCCACTTACGGGCACAACCGCGATGATGATCGTCGTCGAGGATGTGAATGATGAACGTCCAAAATTTTTGCAAAAAGAGTATCATTTCGCAATAACTGAGAACCAGTTGGGCGGATCACAAGTTGGAGTGGTGATGGCTGAAGATAAAGATGGACCCAAATTCAATAAGTTCATCTTTCAGCTTCAACATAATCATGAGTACAAAAAACGAGATCTCGAATCAAATGTTTTCATTTTTGGTGATAGCAAACAAAGAGAAAATATAACTTCAAACTTGTTTCTGCACGGCTCACAATACAGTGTTTATAACAACAATCAATGGCTACCAGTTTTTAATACTATCAATCAGAATATTGATTATTTTACAATCGACAGATATACCGGCGCTATAAGGACTACGCGTGAAATTGACAGGGAAAAAACTCCCGTGTTTCGGTTGTCGGTGTCAGTATGGGATGAATTGAATTTCTCTTCAGGTGATGAGGCTAATGTTATTGTTGATATTTTAGATGAAAATGATAATACGCCTGTTATTGAATTTCCAACTTCAACCAACAAGTCAGTGTTCATTTCAAATCAAATACCAGTTGGGCAGACAGTGGCGACGATAGTAGCTACTGATGCAGACGTGGCAGAAAACTCAAAATTGATGTACAAAATATTAGAAGATAGGACGATAATGAACAGGTTATACTTTAAATTAGACAAACACACAGGTGAGTTGAAGGTGGCTAAGAGCTTGGCGGAATTTGAGGAACAACTTTTTCTCATTGCCATCTTAGTTTCCGATAGTGGCGTTCCACCCAGAGTTTCTTCTTCAGTCATTGACGTTTATGTCAATCATTCTTTGGTGTTTATCGCAGAAGAGGAAAAAAGTCATGTGGATTCGTCACATTTTTTGAAAAACACAAAATTTGCAACAATTCTCATAAACGATGGCGAGTGGATCACGATTTATCATATTATCATTTCCGTGGCAATCTTTGCTTGTTGTTTGCTCTTCGTTGTACTGTTCCTGTTACTAGCCAGATGTTTACGCAATAAAGAACGTCCTAAAAACTCGCGTGTAAAATTTAGAGTAGAGACGTCGACCGAAGCATTTAGAATACTAAACGATGTACGGCTGTTAGAAAAAAATGAAGAAGAATGTGACATATCGCCTTCTAAATGTAACGACACAAATGACTCCAGCTATTTTTCCAACGCATCCAATATTTCAGTCTTTAGAAACACAAGGAATGCAAAGGAATCAAAACAAAAAGTGTTGGACCATTACTGTTCGAATTCTGAAGACGGCTGCCCTAACAGCGAAGTGAGTTCTATAAAGTTTTTGTTGAATTAGTTCAATGACAAAAGTTGCATATTTATATAATCTTTGTTGGTTCTATCGTTTGTTATTGACGAACCTACCGCAATACATGACGAATTGTCATTAATTTGAAAGGACCGCAATAGGACCATTAATGCTTATTTATTTGTTTGGGCTCTTCAAAAATCTAAATTTTAGTTTGGAAGTTTGAGAAATCTATAGGCATAAATACAAATGAGATCTCTACTGTGCTTAGAATGGTATACTTAATTTTTATAGCAAACCTACTAATAGCCAGTCTACGTTCTTGAATATGTCCATATATGTAAATTTTATTTATTTCAAGTTCTCACTCTCTTTCTTTTTCCTTACACATTTCGTTTTTTTTCCAATACATAGTTTTAAGGCAATTTTTTTTAGATAAAATTCCCGCAACTACCCCTACAAAACTTCAGCGGAAAATGTTTCAAAATCCTTGCCGAATTGGCGTTAAAATTACCTGGAAAATAATATCCAATACATTTTTGTGTTACAAAATTTATATTCTTAAAATTATTTTAAATAATGAAATTTTGGTAAACTTTTAATTTGTATCGATTTGTAAACATTAATAAATTAATTTAGTTTAGTTGTGATTTATGTATGAAAAATTTATTTTCACTAACATTGAACATAAATTATTGTATCTAAAATAATAAAAACCGTTCTAAAAACTACACGTATAAATTTGAGTAGAAGTACTGTGCATGTGCATGCTTCAACAATTTTGAACAGTTCATTAAAGCGAAACAAACTGTTTTCATGGTTCTTGCATACAAAGCAGTTCGATCCAAAGCGTTGAGGCGTTTTTAATAAGGAATGATGTTTGCTTGCGGTATAGACTGCTTCTACAAATATACTGTTGATGCTTGATTTTCTTTTGTCAGCTTTTATGCTCTTTTCTTCTGCACGTGTTGGTGCAATTGGGGGCACTGTATTGAGCTATCGCAATTGGGGGAAGAATCGTCAAATCGTCAATTTTCCGCTAAATTTATTGTTCAGTGGCGATTTTGAGTTATGTAAAAACTGTTTGTTACACTGAAAATCCTAGCTTCGACATGAACTCACCCCATGACAACATGACAACTGTTCATCCCACTTGTTCACAAAACACCCTGATCGGAAAAACTGTCTTTACATTCTGGAGTCGAATGGATAAATAAAAAATAATTTAATTCTTTAATAATGTTTACTAGAGTTGAAATAAAATTTATTAAGTTTGCCTCTATCATTAAAGGGTGATATTTTTTACGTTTAGATCATGAATTGATCAGTTTGATATCTTTATTATAATAATTTTATTAAACTCCATATATTTCACTAAATTTAAATCTAGCCAATTAAGAGTCGAGCCTGTAAAAATGATAGATTTCATATCTAAAAAGTAAAACAAAATTGATAATTTCAAAAGAAAAGGGAGACGGTGCTATATTTCACATTGAATTGGAAAAACTAGACTGAAAATATTTTGTGTGGCGAGAGGCACGGTTTAATAAAGGTTGACACGCCTGGTCCCACTATTGCTGTGACTGAACAAGAAGGCGAAGTTCAGAGCGGATCTCAAGACCCATCTGTTTTCAAAATTCATTGAGGAGCGCTGTTGAACATCGCGGAAATAGCGCTTTATAAGCTAATTGATTGATTGATTGATTGATTGGTTGGTTGGTTGGTTGGTTGGTTGATTGATTGGTTGGTTGGTTGGTTGGTTGGTTGGTTGGTTGGTTGGTTGGTTGGTTGGTTGGTTGGTTGGTTGGTTGGTTGGTTGGTTGGTTGGTTGGTTGGTTGGTTGGTTGGTTGGTTGGTTGGTTGGTTGGTTGGTTGGTTGGTTGGTTGGTTGGTTGATTGATTGATTGATTGATTGATTGATTGATTGATTGATTGATTGATTGATTGATTGATTGATTGATTGATTGATTGATTGAAGGCGAAAAGCTCTTCGCCTACCCCGTTCAATGTGTGTGACACGTAAACTGAGAAAGAGTAAAAAAACTAATCACATTTTTCTACGGATGCACCAAAGTTCGGCCCGGCCCCGGCCAAAATCCGGCTTTTTTTCAAATCCGGTCGAATCCGGCCCCGGCCGGATTTGGTGGCCGGATTTAGGGCCGGATTTAAGCGTCTATCAACTTTTAAAAATGTTAGAAATAGAAAAAAAAATTTCATTGAATTCAATTAATTTTATGTCAATAAGTTAAAGGCTAAGGCTAAGCTAAAGGCATACATGACACATAATAACAACTTCACCAATTGTGAGGTAATCTGGACAATTTTTTTATGCTATAACATGGGTTATGCATAAATTATAAGCTGATCTTTGTGTAAAAGAACTTGTGCACGTGTATATACTATATATTGATAACTGCATATGACGGATCATATAGCTACATAATATATATATATATATATATATAGAGAGAGAGAGAGAGAGAGAGAGAGAGGGAGAGAGAGAGAGAGATACATAAGTACATAATTTAAGAAAGGTTAGGCTAGGTATACATGACACATAATTACAACATCACTAATTGTGCGGTGAGCTGGAAAATTTTCTTTGTGCTTTAACTTGGGTTATGCAAATATGCATAAATTATAAGCTGATCTTTGTGTACAGAATTTGGCGTATCACACAACTTATTCATATATTTGAATTAAATAACTATTTGCTTGGTGTTATTTTTTGATGTTCAACATGTGGATAACCGTAAATGTGAGTATTTTTTCTAACTTATGTAAAATGGTAACTAAAATCCGGCCCCGGCTCCGGCCGGTTTTTGAATTTTAAATCCGGCCAAGTCCGGCCCCGGCCGGATTTGAAAAATCTGAATCCGGTGCATCCCTACATTTTTTTAACTTTCTGAAACAATTTGTCTACATTTTGCTATAGTATAAATTTTTCTACTCCATTATAAATTTTTTACTGCTTTGTTTAATTTTGTTTGGGTTACTTTATTATTTATTTCCATCAAAAATTTGGCTGGTTTTTTTAATCTCTTCCCTTCACATCTAAGAAAAATATTCCAAATGTTTTTCACATGTACCTGTAGAGATATTGATTGATTGATGGATGTACGCCGAATAGATTACTTTTTATGTAGAATAGACGCATCGATGACTCTTCGATGTCAACTAAGTTTTTATTATTTTCCATTAGCCAACTTTTAAATATATTTTCTTGAATTATATTAATTAAATATTTAAAAAATGAGATTACTAATTATCCAATTCGCTTGATGTGGTAATGTTCAAATGCACTAGACCCATTTAATCGCTAGTCAAACATTGCCAATCACAGTGAATTATATACCTATGTTCTAAATTGTTTTGGTAAAAGTTTCTTCCTCATCACTGCTCACGTCAAAGCTATCTATCACGTATGTTTGACGGTTCATTTTTTTGTTGAATTGCCTTTCTAGCACTATTACATGTTTTATGAAGTTAGAGTTCTTTATTTTTGCAGCGACACATCACGACTTTCATAACAAACGCTGAAAATGATGGATTCATTTTCACCGTCTTTTTTTCTATATAACCTTCCACATTTTTCTTTTCCAGGACGTGTGACTCCGTTTTTTTCAATTTCACTGTTGTTTACAAGCTACTCTCTGACAGCAAACGTTGCACTGTTAATTGTTTTCTATGCACCTAAAATTTGGATTGACCATCCATCTTATTTAAAGAAAATCGATTCAATTTGTTGAAGAAGACTGACAACATTTTTCATTTGTATATTTCAATACTGTTTTGTGCTTGTTACAAATTTAGATAGAGTACTTTTATTTTTTCATCTTGTTTAGTTCAGAATTGATCAGAATTTTAAAACACGATGAAAACATTTCTCGTACTAGTTTTTTTTATATAACTTTGTGTTTTTTGACGATTTGAACACGAATAGTCAACTTATTATCAACAAAAATTGATCGTATGTTCATAACTTTGTAGGCTATTTATTTGTTCTATTTTCTTTTTTCTTATTAAATAAATACAAAATAATGTTTTAATAAAATGTAGTAATTTAATTCTGTCATTAGTTTGTAAAAAGGCCACATTAAAACATTTTGTTATATTGATGTGAACATATTATATCATAAAACCGCCGAGAAATTAACTATTTTTAATCTCTTTGCAGAACAATTTTTTAGAACATGAAAGCAAAATAGATTCTAACATCGAAATTACATCGTCTGCCATCGAAACCGCGTCACAAAATAGCAAATCAACAAGCATATCCTACTGCACTAACGATGGTTACAAGCGGAATAAAAATAATTACGGTGATGTCGTTACCAACAAATCTCTCCTTGCTCCAATACGCCGAACAAAAAGTATTTACAAAAGGTATCAAAGTGAAACCGAAAGTAAGGAACCTGAAAATAGACGATCGTTTGATTCGGCTACAATACTTTCTGTTGCTCGCAATAAATTATCCAACAGAGATAAACAAGAAAATTACATGCATGAAAAAATAGACAAGAAACAAATAAAAGACGTTCTTGGGATCGAGGAGAGCAGCGTGAGACTGAACAGAGAAAGATCATTTCCACCTCCTCCACCACCACCGCGTTCATCACCTTTAAAAAACGAATCGAAACCAAAGAAACAACAAAAAAATCAATATCAACAGTCTCAAAATCAACGACAAAAACAAATTTCGAAAAATTCAGTTTTTGGTTGTAACATCAAACCATATGGACTAGTTAAACAAATAACTTCGAAAGACCAACGTTTAAAACAAAATCCAGAACAAACACATAATCAACAAATGCAGAAAAAAACAGTCACACTAGCTCCTACAAAATCCAAGTCACAAAGTACATTTCATTCTTTAGACCTGACTAAAAAAGAATTGCCCTCGTCATCATCGACTCATTTATTTTCTTCTTATGAAACAAACACCTTTCAGGAAGCTGAGATAAAAAATTATTCAACATTTCCAACAGCATCAACAACCAAGGAGCAGCAGGCTAGCTGTTCGAATGTTTTGTTTCATGACAATAGCGACCCACCAAAAGTTTCATTTTGCCAAAACTCCATAACGGTTACCTTCGAAAATCCTTCTTTGCCCATTGTCAGCAACGCGAACCTAATTGAGTCAATGATGGTGGACGGACAATGCGATTGTTCGACAATTTATCACAAACCACTACATTTAGACAATATTTCATTCGCAACATTACAACACAACCGACAACGACAATTTGTGCAGTTTCCCACATCTAACGCCCCATTAAAACTCAACAAAGTAGACAAAGTTGAGTGTACACGTTTCAGTAAGCCACAACAATGTTTAAAATTTAAAAAACAACAGCATGGGCAGCGTGAAAACTACATTTCCTGTGATGATATACAACGGTGCTTAACTGAAAAAGATCGAATCAAAGATTCCGAAGTTTCGATCAATTATGAAAAGACTTGCATTCAAAACACCAACCGAAACAGAATTGACAACGGTTTAAGACTGAACGAATACATCATTAAAAATCAGTCATCAAAAAACGCATTAGTATAAAACACCGATAGACTACCATTATTTGACAGTCATAATTTTGCAACTTTTCAATATTAGCATAATAGAAATTACACACACACACAAATACATATACGCACACAGACATACATACACGCACACAAACATTAATCTGTATAGAATTTTCCTACTGTCAAACTGTGTTGCAGATACAACAGTTTAAAAAAATTGGCAGTTTGGCCGATATTGTTTAATTTACATTTATATATTGCAAATTAAAAAATTCAGCTAAAGTCTCGTTTTTTATAATGAAACAAAAAAAACATTATTAAACAATTATTTTCAAGTAAATTACCCATTATCAACTCAAAAACAAAGACGCATATTCAAAAAAATAAATAATTATGACAAATGTTCTTTGTTGCAGCGTCGATATGAAGTGCAGAGAGGTTAGAGTTAAACATGAATTAATCGCGTGAACGCAAAGTACGACGACCTCGTGATCATCTATATTTTACTTTCTATCTACCGGAATCAGCCGTTCATTTCAATGAGCGAGTGACTTGCTCAGAAAGATACGGTGTAAGATGTAGGCAAGATAACACCAACGTTGCCATTCCTTTGTTGCATAAAACTAGTGCATGCAAATGACCGAAGATGAACATGGAAAAAATATCATTGAAATTGCGCTGAAAATATTAAAACATGCGTACACTTGCATAATTTATACACCAATGAATTTATACTTACACGTACACTGTCCAAGTGTCCACGGCCCATACTTACATTTCTTTAGCTTTGCCTGGCATCATGATGACTTATCGGGAAAATTTATTTAAAAATAAGTGGAGAAGATAGATACTCCAACTTTGAGCAAACGTTTTTAAATGTGACATGCAATAGACAATCTAACTGAAAATCATATATTTCACAATAATTTGTAAACTGGATTAATTTTAAAGAACCAATTTCCTAATTTAATATACCCAGCCATAATTTTTTTCGTTATATCACTTTGCATGAAGTGTATTAAAAAACATTTGAACTATTTTGTCATGAAGAGCATCCCTGTTCGCATTAAAGTGCATAAAATTAGTTTTGCAAAAACGCAATATGCCTGCATCATCATTTTTTTCTTACATAACTGTTTTATTTACTTTTTTATTTTTCTAAATCGACAAAAGGAATCTATAAAACTAAGGCGCTGCTTGTAGTATGCAAAAGCGTTAACAAACTTGGGAGTGATCATAGAAATTATGAAAATCATGCATTCCAGAATTGATATTGAATGTGCCTGTCTTCAAAGTTCGTTAAAGAAATAAAGTATTATAGTTAATTTTTTATTTTCCAACCGACAAAAAATCCTTTTGTTTAAATATTTGTTTTTTTCAGTTTTGTAAGGTTTCCATAGACAATGTCCCAGATCAATATCACCACCTGTTACATACAGTTCGAGTTGATATTACAGTTAAACAATCTAAAAAATGAAAAACCAATCAAAATTTGTCACAACCAACTTTGTAATTATTCGAACAAGTCTTTGGACGCCATACCGATGCGTCGTCAACCGGGCATCCTCAAAGCATATACATGGCGCACTTCACTTGATAACATTATTATAAAAAGCAAAATATGTAAAACCGAAATAAATAAAACAGAGACAATCAAAGCTGGGATGCATGTAAACTTGACTCTTTCATTATTTTAAATAAATTTTATTTAGGAAAATTAGTAGTTACATTTCAAATATTTACACCAATAGAAACTATCCAATGTTAAAATAAATGGCAGAATGTTAAATTATATCCCCCGGAGAAGTTGATATTGAATTAGTAATATCAACAAGACTGGATAGCGAGCATAGGACAGTGACGACGCCAGCCCCTGCCCGACATGTCCCTATCTTCGCTACCTGGCTCCACCTGAATTTCGAAAATAAGTTGCGATAAATTGAGCAGCTAATAAATAAACGTCATTTCGGCAATTATTATTATTATTACTATTATTATTATTATATCATTTAATAATAATAATAATAACGTCATTTATGAAGCGCCAATGACCGAGCGAATAAGAATATATTAAGTAATTAAGCACGGTAAATGGATAAAAATAATAAAAAGTGTGATGACTAAAACAAATAATAAAACAAAGTTACAAGTTATAATTATAATGGTTTAATTAAAAGCAGCGTTGAAATAATGAATTAAAATATAAAAAAATAATTTAGATGGAGCATACTCGGATTTTTCTGGATCGTACTCCTCAACCGAATCGAGATATTTATGACCATCATGCCCTCCAACGGCAAATATTTTTCCAGCCAAAGATGAAATGCCAACCCCTCCTCTAGGGCGCGACATTGGAGTAATAATAGTCCATTGGTTGTCGGCAACATTGTACCGTTCAACACTATCTAACGGTGCATTATCATCGAAACCACCTTCAACGAGATAAAATTTAAAAAACAAGTCAGCTTGGTGCTCGAGTTTCATTAGTAAATATATAGCAAAAGTTAAGTGAAGTGAAGAAAATTATAAAATATTAAAAAAGACATGTTAGTATAACTCAACATCAAACGCACACCACTCGTTTACACTTTGTGTGATTCAATATGCATGTCTTATGAGCTGATCATCGGATTGTAAATATACCTTTGTGTTAATGAACCCAAATTATCTTATGTGTCAGCAATTAGTTTAAATCTTTCTGCATGTAACTTATATTTACAATTTATTATATATTTTTCTTTAATATTGAACTATACAACTTGACTTTATGCCATAAAACAGTTTACCCAATTTAGTTCTGAAGTTTTCTCAATTGTCAACTAACAATGTCTGTTTTACGCATTTTACAGTATTAGCCACCGGCAAAGAATCATAAAAGCCGAGGTTTTCTAAAGATGATTAACCTGCGACATAGATGTATCCATCTAATTCTGTAGCTCCAGCACCAGCTCTTCGTTTGTTCATTGGTTCTATAACCACCCAATTGTTAGCGCTAGAATCATAAGATTCGCAAGATTCTAAAGACAAAGAGCCATCGTTGCCTCCAACAGCATACAAACTGCTCTGAATAAATAATGGTTTATTATACAAATGATTTTTCAGCATTATCTAAAATGCCTAACAATCAAAACATCGTCGTACAATGCAAACCATTATTTAATACAAAAAAGTAAATTCTGTAAAAATAAAAAACATGGATATAGCTTAAAACGGTAGTGAAGATGTCAAAAAATCAGTGGAACCATACTTACGTGAAAGCGTGCTAAGGTCGGTCTTGTTGACAGAACGCGAAGTCCACGTAATGAAAACAAGGAGTAGCTATAATGCTTTATAATGCATGCTGCTTCCAAGTGCGTTTAGAAAAAGATAATTTAAGATAAGATAATAAGATAAGTTTAGAAATGATAGAAAAACAAAAATGAACGGACAAATTAGAGATGAGTTTAAGATCTAAAAAACTAACATACAGGAATAAATAGTACAGTAAAATAATCCGACAGCCAACAAGCCTGTTCAGTGTGTTGTAGTTTATATTGCGTCCGACGTAATAAAAATAGAATGAACAATATCGTTTTATATCGGAACTGAAATATCAATAAAAAAACTCCTTCACTCATTTATGTTAAAAACTAATATAAAATCTTCACCGGTTGCTTACGAACTATGCAGACTGGATAAATGCAGGGGAAACGAAATAATTAGAAGAATAATTAGAATAAGAAACATAGACGGTAATGAAGAGATCAGTTGAACGGCCTTGCACACGATGAAATATGTCACCGTCAGAGAAAAAAGCCATGAAATGCAATGGATCAGGACCTACAAAAAAGTTTGAAAGACAGGGATTTGAAAGGAATCGAGGTAATAACATGTGGAAGAACGACAGGAAGAGTGAGTAACGATTGAGAACTTAGCCGGCGACCCTAAAATGTTAATAGATGTCACGGATAAATCGACGGCAGAAGTTAGTACAGAGGTGATTAAAAAAATGGATGAAAAAATTAAAAAAAAATTAACTTGGTATGATACAAGCGCTACGCCTCCTCTAGAGTAGTTCATTTTTTTTACTTCGAACCATGTGTCTGAGGCAATATCGTAGCGTTCGACGGTCGGGAAGCATGAATGATCGTCCAATCCTCCAACTGCATATATAGATCCATTTAAATAGGCTAAGGCTATTCCTCTCCTGAATAGTAATATTTAACACACAGTGAAGCTGTTTTAAACAATAAAATAAACTACAAACAAACAATATTACCCTATTAACACCTTCTCAGTCTTTAAACTCAACAAAAAAATTTTTAACACAAATTATTTTTTACCCAATGCCAATCTGATTACTTCAAATTTTTCCCACGTAAACTCAAGCGATCCTCGCCAATTCCAACCCCTCTGCATCACCTATTTCATTTCAAACAATTATTATACTACCACATTTCTCAATTTCGATCGATGTTCAGGTCGATCGAGAAACTTCCATGTAGTCCCGTGCAGTCGATATTAAAAAAAGCTATTCTCCAATCTCTACGCTATATTCTACAACTTTATTCGTAGAGCGATAAAATAAAAAAAAATTAATGCTAATAATTCCTTTACATCACTCTGAATTAAATATTAAAGTTTAATTAAATATTTGTCCTTTATCAAATGTAATCTATTTAAAAAGCCATTTTAGTACTGGAAAATAAAAGTACTCAATTGCTTGATAATTGCGCAATATAACTACCGCAACTTTGACATGTCCGCAATAGGAGTCCAGGTATTAGTTTGTGGATCGAACATCTCGCCTGATTTCAAGTGAGTCACGCCATCGTGCCCTCCGGCAGCAAACAATTTACCTGGTCAGTGTTTATAGATAAAAGTTTCTAACTAATCTATATGAATCGCAATTAGCAAGGCTCTCTGTTAACGCAATATAATACCGCGGTATGAAAGGATAGAAACTTCCCGTGCAATTTTAAAAAACGGTCGTTAGAAAATTATTTAATTAAAATTTAATTAGGTAAGCGGGAAAACCATTTAGCCATTAACAACTTTAAAACATATATAAAGTTCAGCTAACCAATCCGATAACCAACAAATCAGATAACCAACCAACCATCCAACCAACCAACCAACCAATCAACCATCCATCCATCCAACCAACCATCCATCCTACCAACCAATCATCTAACCATCCATCCAACCAAACAACCAAACAACCAAAAAACTAATCAACGACTTAATCAATCAATCAATCAATCAACCAGCCAACCATCCAACTAATCAACAAATCAATCAACCAATCAACTAGTCAACCAATCAATCAACCAACCAGCCACTTAATCAATCAATCATCCAATCAAACATCTACCCATTCAACCAAACATCCATCCAACCAACCAAACAACCATCCATCCAACCAAACAACCAGCCAACCAATCAACTATCCAACTAACCAACCAACCAATCAACCAGCCACCCCAATCAAACAGCCAACCAACCAATCAGCCAACCAATCAATCAATCGGCCAACCAACCATTCACGGACACCACGCCCACATGCCTTCTTCTCGTTGACATATCTGAGACGGGAAACCACCTTACGTGATAATAATGTTACTCGTTCAATAAAAATAATTTTGAAATATTTTTTGGCGTTTTATACTTCCAGTTATTGCTTTAAATTAAATAATTGGAAAATTTGTACAATTTTAAAAGTAACTAAAAAAATTTATATCGTCGCAATATTTACAAAATAATTCAAAATGCAATGAAACTTATTTCAACTTTGATGTTTTTTTTCAAATATATTGCGGAAGAAATATTTTACAACTTTAAGTTTCATTAAAAGGATAATGGTTCTGAATAATTAAGTGAAAATGGTTGATGAATTTTAAAAGTATCACAATAAACTATATAAGAATAAATCAACATTCTGCTTGGTTTATAAGAAGATGGATGCTGCAACCAGCTCTGAATTTAATTCAATATTTTTCGCTGAAATTGAAGTTCATAACACGTAGTTTGCATGCATCAGAGATTAGTATCTCGAATTTATCAGACATGACAAGCACACCCGGTGTTTGAGTGGTCAACCATGGAGGGTTGCCTAATCAAGTTGGAATCTGACCCTTAACATCTTAAACGAGCTTGTGATCCTCTGCTGATGCATAAAAATTTTAAATCAGTGTTTTAAGCAATTTCTTTCAACGGAAGCAACGTTTGCTATCGGAATTAATGTGCCGGTTTAACGTGCTTAATGGCAAAAGTTAAGCTGCTGGGTGATTTCATTTTCCATGGAATAGACCGAATAGCCTAGTATGAAGTAAAAAAAATCCGACTCCTCACTTATTGGCGGCCATGGTTGTGGGTAGTCCCTTTCTGCAACTCAACCTTTGGTAGTTGGTAATCATTCTACTTCACAATATACAGAATTATTCTGGTTTTTAATCTATCGCTTGTTTGCGCTCATTCTTATTATTATATAATATTATATTGAATCGTGTATAAGAGGATGTAATTTGAAAATTTCTCCAGAAAACATCCATTTAAGTATCTCCCGTCTAGGTTATAAGTTGTTTCGCTAGAAGACAAATCAGCTCAGCAGTCATGTGTCAGTCTCTTTTACCTGCAATTCTTAATTAAGGATGAAATCCTAAACATTTGGGAAAAACAACAAAAAATGAATTGAATAAATCCAAATCTAAAGTTCTTTGTACAAATTTTAAAATGAATTCCTTAAATATTCTAACAACCTGTCGTTGTAGACATCGTAGCATTCGATAGATTTGAACGGGTTGCCATCAAATCCACGACCACCAACACAAAACATAACACCTGAATGAATGAATGCATGAATGCATGAACGAACGAACGAACGAATAAACCAGATTGTGAGAATTTGTCAACCGCCAAAAATGTATACAAACGTTCAATAAATCATGCGTACAAAAATTAAACAAAATTGAAAGGTTATCATTTTAATCAGTAATAACTTTATATAAAATCTGTCACACTTTCCCTTTATTTTAATTTTCTCCAATCAATATTTACAAGGCTTTTAAATTTCGACTCATCAGGATATCTCCTGGCGTGAAAAACGGGAGAGACCTGGATATATCTCTTCAATATTCGGCTCATTAAATAAAGCTCACTTGAACCAGTTTCAATAAATAAGAAGACTGATTGATTGATTCAGATTGAATGTGGTAATACGTAATAATGATGGCTATTATTACATGTGATTTGAACTTAGACCCTACCCTAAAAAATGTTTGTATCGTAAGTTAGATCGACCCCAATATCGTTTGTATATCGGTGTTAGCAAATGTAGAGCGTTCAAATTAGCAGCAATTATATTATTATTATTATTATATTATATTATTATATTATTATTATTAATACTTAGACGTATTTTTTTATTAGAATACAATCATCGTCGTCTTTTTCATCGTTTTTGTCTACTGTTTAAGACAAATGAAATCCTAAAAATTTTTGATTTCATAATTTTTCTTTCTCTAGGTTTTGAAACCTTTTTAAATCGCAGTGAAGAGTTTGCAGTCCAGTGTTCATCTCGTTTTCAACCACAACTTCTTGAAATTAATAATAATAAGGCCAACTTTCACAAGTCACGACTATTTAACATCAGAAAACAGAGACTATTTTACCAAATAAGACAAACTTTTATGATTTTCATAACTTTTGCTGTTGGCAACTTGCTAATTGCTTCTGTCATACTCATAGATATTTCAAAACTTTTGGTTGGTTGTCGAAAATGAACATGCAAAATTTAGCCATTATTGACAAAATACAAAACAAAACAGAACCGAGCTGTACCTATAGTTACGAATAGCGAAAGCATTAATAACGTTTAATTATGTAACGTGAATAAATTTACCCGAATAAATCTTTCTTGGCCTATGTTTTTTAACACCTTTATAACCATAGATAACATTAGCCTTGAACAGGCAGTAATCTTTTGCATCGTCGACCAAGTCTCTACAATCCAAATTCGTTCTAATCAATTCTTCAGTGCTGACGATATCAACCAGAGTCGACGGCAAGAAATATGTAAAACGGATACTGAAAATAAAAAATTCTTACCAGTCTTTCAACTTTTTCATCAAAAAATTGAAATTTATTCATTTCAGAACAATTAGGTAAGAAATTAAAATTCAATAATTCATTCTAAAAAATTACGTTAGAAATCAAATTTTTTTTTTCTTCATAAACTTTACTCTCATCAGCAGCAAATATTTAGAATAGAGATATTACAATGACTCTACCCGTGAAATGTATCCTTAACCATAATAAATTGGATAATTATTCAACAACTACCTAGGTCAAAAACAAAAAAAGATTTGAATGTTAAGCCAGTTTAACCCACCTAACAAAAATTCGTAAAATAATAATCCAGTGCTAGTGTCAAAATATTTTGTATCTCTTGTTAAAATATGATCCGAATCTAGAACTATTCCCGTTTAACAATTTTCTGATTTATAAAATTTATCTTCTGTTTATATGAAAACAGATGTATTCCAATCACTCACATCTTCTGCCTTCTGACCAACATTAATTTATCGACAAACAATTTCAACTGATAATCCAACTTTCAATGCTCTCACTTAAACGTCATATGCCTCGTTAAATTCTCGTTGTCCTAAATTTATGTCCATTATAATTATAATTGTTTCCATTCTCGCTTTCCATCGCTCCTTAAGTTGTTCTTCTTGCTGCTAGAACGTTTACCACACAGTCCAACTCAAATATCAAGTTTTAATAAATATGATTATCATTTTGCAGTTTTGTTGAGTTCTTAAAACTATTTAGATAATTCATTACTTAAAATTAATAAACTTTTTACGTGTGATATATAAGATGACGGTCTGTAAGATTAGGCAGTTATTTATAACAGAAGTAAAGAATGTTATTGAACGCACACTTTTAAAAAATCGGCGATCCAACGAGAAAGAAGACTGAAACTTTTATAAGAATAATTTAATTGAAAACTCAACAACTACACATCTGAAATTACAGAATGAAATCGGCAATTATTTTTAAACCTTTTTAGCAAATATTCTAAACATAATGTAACAAAATCTACTAACTTTTTCAATAATGGTACAATGTATTTAATGTTGTTAACAACGTCATACTTAATCCATTTGATGACAACGTCGTAAACGTCCTCTTCTCTGTCCACACACAAATCATCAGCGCATATTATCGGCAGAAATAATTTATAAGACAACTTTAAAAGTTCGGGTATCTGAGAAATCTTAAATTCAAACAAAAAGTACCTTACATTTTAATAAACGTGGATGTAATCATATATATATATATATATATATATATATATATATATATATATATATATATATATATATATATACACACACACATATATATATATATATATACATATATATATAATAAATTATATATAGCTAGATATTATATAAATATACCCTATTTTCCATAGTAAACTTGACATGTAAAAACCTAGTACCACTTATTAAAAACATGACAATTTTGGCAAGGGAACTGAACAAAACAGTATTTAATGGAGAGAATACAACAGGGCCATCCTAGTCCAAAGCTTCATGAATGAAAAATATACAGTGGTTGAAGCAAATTGAATGCATGTGACTCAGATATATCATGTCATCATTCACATAGTAAAACAAGTTGATGTAAATAGAGGAAAATATGAAATTGAATAAAAAAAAAGTATCCCGTTAAAATCAAATGAAAAACTTGGAATAAAGAGCATTTGATTCAGCATTAAAGTACTTCAACATATATAAATACATTTCACATAAACACAGAAGGGTGGAAGTGAGGAAGTGAGTTTGTTGTAGAATCAATGAAATTTATTCAAACTATTAAAACAAAATCTAGTGCTATATTGAAAGCCCAATAAACTTCATAACTTGGTTGAAAAACAAAACAAATGAGTAAATTAAAAAAGTCTGCAAAATTTTATGAACTTGAACATTTTAATGCAACCAATTTAATTTGGAAAAAAATTTACTACCTCCCTGAAATTCCTGATTATAAAGATTTGAGCTTTATTAACAAGAAGTTTGTGACCAAGGTGATTAGCGAAAGATAAAACTTCTAAGCAATTGGTCTCATCCAAGTGAGATGCCATGAACTCACAACACGTTCTTGACACAGAATCAATCTAATTAGTTTTTAAATAAACAATTCAATAATTAATTCTAAAAACCATAAAAATTAAAAAAACATTGTATGGTGACACCATTTTACATTACATATTATATTAATAATATTTATATTAAGTATTAATAACATTTATATTAAGTATCTCATTACTTAGCTCAAGACTAGTCAGCTATCACAAAAGGCATGTTACACTGGCGATATCTTTATTTATTTACCTACAACAACTACATTCTTCATTCTTCTAACAACTTATGATCTTTGCTTCCAATTTTTTTCCTCTAAGTAAACAGCTATTATAGCAAGTCCTACATATTGCACCTTTCATAATGCGGAGCACACGAGCTGAAAAATATTACACACATAGTTTATCAAAACTTTCAATTTTAAAAGCATGAAAATAACAAAATTTTAAGAGAAATCTTTACACAAAAATGCCAGGTGTTGTGGACTAATCTTTAGCATTACACTAAATGAGTGTAACAACATTTTTTGTGACTGTGAATGTCATATTTTTCTTTTATAAGTACAACTTTTTTAATTTTTAATTTTTTTCAGATATATAAACTATTGTAAGAGCAAATTATTTTAAGCATTAAAGAAACATAATTTCTCAACAAATTTTCATTATTTATTATTCACATTAACAATCAATAAGTAGCTTCCTTTAAGTTAAAGTGGTACTCTCCCTACCATGGTCTTCCTGATTTAAATCTTATCCTCAACCAAACTTCAATTTCTAAGCTCATTTAGTTACCTTTGTTCTTATTTTTTCTGAAACATTTTCATATATTATTTTATCACACTGGCTTACAAGGAATTTATTTTTTCAATTTGCATAGTGATGTACTTGAATGGATAATTGAATTATGGAGAATTGCATAATTTTGAACTTCTAATGAAATTACCAAACAGATAGCCCCACTGAGAAAGTTTGAAACAATCCAGACAACAGACAATCATCATTTTATTATTATAAATAAAGAATAAAAAAAAGTAAAACTTATTTAATGCTAAGCATTTAAAAGCATTTGATGTATTGCAAAAATTTTTAAAAATCAAGGCTGGTGTTACAGTGCAGGTTGCTATTTGAACATGAAACAAGGCATGCATATTTGATATTTTATTATTTGCAATTCACCTGTAATATAGAACTGGCAAACAGAAGTGGCTGAACATTCTCAACTGTGATGAGTAACTGTGAAGTATAAGCATATTGCACAAGACTTAAAGTTGCATCCGGATCTATATCCTCCAACTTAACAACACCATTTCTAGATTCAGACATGTCAGTCAGGAACATTGACTTAAAATATCCACTGATTGATGATAAAATAATTTTATGACATTTTATTGAATGAATACCAATTCTTATTTCTACGTCGCAAAAAAGTCCTTCAAAAAAAAATTCTTTAAAAAAATTGAAACATTCCCGAAAAAGATCCTGGCTTTCAAAATGAAATGACAAATCAGTGGAGGAAGGTAGTTTTTTGAGAGACTTAATTTCAGCAATTTCCACCAGAGATTTATTAGCTGCTACCATCGACATCGTCCTATTGTTTGTCGTCAGCCAATTATTAATTATACAGAAACTTCTTAACAAAACAAACCCCAATACTAATTAATAATTAATTAATAACATCTCTCATCTGTTTGTTTTTAAATTTAAAGGTAAACTTAGCTTAACTTTTAAGCATCGACAAAGAACTAAAAATGACGTTATTACTACAATATCTTTGCTTTAAAACTTTCCCGTATGTAAATCTTATACTTAGAATATCACAATATCTGAATATCTGCAAAAAGCATGGATATATATATATGTGTGTGTGTATATATATATATATATATATATATATATATATATATATATGCCATGGATATGTGTATATACATGTATATATGTATATTAAAACCAAATCGTGATGAATGACACCAAACAGTCAAACATCTGATTAAAAGGGTTAACACTTAAATGTATCGTTAGTCTCACACGTCGGCGTTTAAATTAATATTTTCCGACACACAAACACGCAGAAATCGCTGCAACAAACACGAGATGTGGTTTATTGCAAAAAAGAACTCTCTGTTGTCACCTGACCGAACACCAATCATTTTACACAATGTTTTAATAAATTTTAAAGTATTGGGGTCCATGGGTCCAAGGACCTCGATATATATTGGCAAAAAGTCTAAGGAAGGCAGGGCGTGTTCATATTTTTTGATTTTTTCGTCCGATGCCCTGATTGCAGCCAAACCACATTCTTTGCTGGTAAGGTGAACGTAGCGCTCGGCCAAGGTACCAGGAACCGTAACATCCCAAGCCAAACATTTACCAGCTCTCCAGGGAGTAAGAGTACAACCGTCTGGTCGCTTGCCATCTTGCACTGAAATGCCAGATGGTTCCTTCAAAACAGGAATATAAGCTTTAGAAAAAAGCCGGCAAATGTAATCATTCAAAGCTGAATGACGAAGTTGACGGCCTCCACCTAAACGGCAAACAAAACCATGATGACCAAATTGGTCCGCCTCCGCGCCGCAACGACACAGATATTTATTTTGCCAGATTTTTAGAAATGTATATATGTATGTATATATATATATATATATATATATATATATATATATATATATATGTGTTGGTAATAGACCATAATTTTTACAATATTCTATAAATTCTACCGAATGTTTGGCGTTAATATGTTTATAGTTCGTTTTTTAGATTTTTCTCACTAAAGTTTTTTGGTGAACGTTAATTTATTAATATTTAAAATAAATTTATTTTTCGAATTCATGCTGCAAATAAGGCCATATTTCGATTCCGAATGAATCATCATCAGTGCTCCTTGTTGTATATATAGGGAAATATTGACTTTGTCAAGATGAACTTCAACGTCAAAGTTACGTCATCAAACGTAACAAATTTAAACGAACAAGGTCCTGTGTTGGAGATATACGATAATATACTCGTAACGTATGTGTTTGTTAATTTTTTTTTCAACAAGCATACACACATACATAAGCACATGCCTGATGATAGCCTGATCAACCAACATATCGAAGGAAGGACCGACCTTGACATTTAAAAACATCTTAATTTAATTTAATTGCGATATCGATATTGATTGCGAACTAACTAATCAAAACACAAAATTTTTTAAATTTGATTTAATCATTCTGTTTTTCAAAACAACGGCATAAGAATTATTGAAACAGGATGGGTAATTGGTTACAAAATCGTTGAAGTGAAATGACACTCTGTAGCGAAATCGTTGGAGTGAAATGGCACTCTGTAGCGAAACATCATTTTAATAGTAAAAAATATTGAAATGTACGATGATAAATTAGCTGGTATAAACATTACATTCGATTTCCATAAAATAAATTATTCGACATCACCGAATCACTCATCATCTCACACATCAAATATGCAGCTCCCTCCTGGTCTGGTTTTGCCACGCAACAACAACTTCAGCAGCTACAATCTCTCATCAAAAAATTAATTCGCTTCAACTACCTACCTGCATCATATCCTACGATCACTCAGATATTCAACACACTCGATTCAAGGCTGTTCAAGAAAATAGAAAATAACAACAACCACGTCACCCATCCTCTACTACCACCAATCAAACATAACTATCAAGTCGTCGCCCAATCTACATGCCAGGAAAAAACCTTCATCACAAGACACCTCAAACATATTAGCACTTAAGAAAACTTCATTATTACTGAACTAGTTTTTACTTATTGATCACCTCACTTTTATCGATCACCTCACTAACTCACTAAGTCATCATTTAGTCTATTAATAAGTCACCAAATATATTAATACTCATTAAACTTTTTCACACACAGGTCTAGCCTTTATCTATCGATCACCTCACTAACCCACTAAGTCATCATCTAGTCTATCAATTTGCCGTTACTTCATTTTATATTCCATCGTCAATTACTTTTCTTTTATTTGTCTTATTATTATTATTTATTTATTCTAACATTTTATTTTTCATGTTTTATCATTTCTCTTCCTCACTTTTTGTATTTATTTTCTCACTTATTTGTTTAATTTTGTTTCACTGCCTTGCATGTTGTTACAGTTTCTGCGTCTGTCAGATCCTGATTTTTAAAGAATAATTAAGAATAATTAAAAAAAAATTTACCAAATATTATTAGTTGAGAGTTAGTTGAACGTAGGTGAGATCTAAGTTAATTGAACATAGGCAATTAAATTAAAGTTTAGAAAAAAATAATTGACAACAGGTAAGTAAGGTAGGTAACTTTTTATCGTCTCCTTTTTATGTCTAGTGATTTTTTTTGTTTTGTTTTGTGTGCACACACACGCATTAAGCATACAATACAAAAAACAAATATGGTACAAACAAATACGAACATGACGTCCATGATAGGCACTTTTTCAATTATGCTTTTTTATTTAATTTCCATTTTTTATCATTAATTAAATAATATTTTCAATAATAATGATAAATATACTGTTTGAAAATATCACTGATACTGCGAACAAATTGTTAGAAATGCTAAAAAATGGTGTTTTCTTTTTTGTTTCTTTTTCTTTTTTTGTTAAATCTTTTCAAATGTTTTTTGGTTTAAGTAATTGAAGGAAAATTTTGAAATAAATTCTAAATCACATTATTGTGAATTTCATTTATTTTATGTGTTGTTTTATTTGAAATAATTAATTTTTTAAATTTTAATTGGTAATAAATAATTATAAGGCATTAGTGCTATTATAATGAATTACTTTATAAAGCATGGGTGGGCAAACTTTTTATTGTGAGGGCCGCATTTAGAACTATTTGACATTTGAAGGGCCGCATGTGTATTCAAATAGCAAATTTTTTGGACCTTTTTTTGTCTCGTAATATGTGACTGATGACCTTTCCAGTCATTTACTATTCAGTTACTGAAGTAGTAATTTCTGACAATTTTAAAAACAATTATAATCAAGACATAGCAATCTAAATATTTTCATATTTCATTTGGTATCTTCCTGGTTTACCCAAAGAAACGAGTGTCTTGGCCCGAAAGATATATGTAAAATGATATATAGGCAACACTGAGGTTTTCATTCCTTTTATGATTTTAGAACATCGAAAAGTACAAGACAAATTGATTTAGTAAAAAACCTGCTCCCATCGAAATGTCTCTGAGCTGCCCTGCCAACATCATCATGAGTTAGTCTATAAGATACTACAATTTTTTATATTTAACATTAATTAACCATTAGTTAAAACTGTTTTTGGCAGAATAATGGGCATGCAAACAGCCTAGCAAATAAATGCGCAATAAAGACGAAATCATATGAAATCTCAGGACGGAAAGGTTTGAGCTACTGACAAATTATGTGAAGAAATTCAGGGAAAAATTATAACTTACTTTTTTAACAAAGAATTTATTCAACAATCTGAAGTATATCAAAGAGAATTATATTAGTAATAATTTTAATCACCATAATAAAATAATTTTTGTCATTTTAAATCACATTTGTCTTGTTTTTGAAAAATATTTATTAACAATTTATAAGCATTTGATGGTTTGTTAATTAGTCAAAAATAAATAATCACTTCCGTAAAAGGAAAAGAAATGTTGGCAAACAGATGTTTCATTCATGAGAGTATGTTGGCATGACACATGATGAATGACGAATTCCCATATGAAATCCCTTTGGCTTGTCCACAAAGCTTGGCAAGTTGTATGATCCGGGTGCTGGGTTGTTCAGGGCTGTGTTATAATCTTTCACTTTACATCGATTTTTTATCACAATTGGAACATCCTTTTTCATCTCAACTTGTTTGTAAGATCCAGGACCTGGAACTGCAGCTTTTGTGGATGGATAGTAAATGCTACCAAACTCAGTGCGGCTTCTTATCAACATTGCAGGTGGAGTTCCTTGAACAGGGCATTTCTTTCCAATCCCATCATTTATTGTGTAAGCGTTGGGAGGAGGGTTAAGATTTGGAGATGACTTTGATCGATTTCCCAGAGATATTGAAGAAAGGGATTTTAATAATTTAGGCTCATATTGACCGGGACCGGGTAATACCTCTGGTTCTTATTAATAAATATCTAATTTATATATCTATGGTGAAACAATTAATGAAACAACCTTTAGTTTTTGGTCTGCCAAGTATAAGGGCAGTTCTTGGAAGTTGAAGGCCCGTATTTGTCAATTCTGATTTGAAATTGTAACTAGGTCCAGGGATGTCCGTACATGACCCTATTAGAACAACTTATTTTCAAAAAATGCAAAATAACCAAAAAATAGCAAACAATAGCAAACAATAAATAGAAAGCCGCTAATATGATCTGATGAAAGTACTCAAATACATAAGTGTACTCTATGATGTCGCAGGTTACTGCTGACAAGTTTTAAGCAGTGGTGTGTTTAAACGTTTTCAGATTCATATTGACAATGTTGCTAATATTTCATAATCTCAACGCAACTTTGAAGGAGTTTGAACACAGTCTACATGACTTCTCTTATATCATCGCATGAATGCTATTAGAAAAGTGTCGCGAACAAAACCTCAACATTTTCGCGGGGCTTTTATCGACCTGGCAAAGCATTTGGCACGGTCAACAGACCTTTTTTTTATAAAAGATCTTTGAAAAAACGGTTTTAGGTTTTCCTTGCGCGTGAATATACAAATTAAAAGTTTTTAATGTAAGGCTGACAAAGTATTTTTAGTATAGAATGATTGCAAAAAGTTTTCACACTAAATAATTCAGGAGGACCAGTAGAAGACTATTTGAAATTTTTCTGACGTAAGTCACGTCAATTGAGATGACCAAGACATCTGTTTGCCATAAAATTGACTCAGAAGCTTTTAAAAAGAGAGATTTTCTCAAGCTATTGTTGTGGTCCGTTTTTTGCCTAATAAGCATCATTTCTTTAGACCTCATAGATCCAGCCAAAAACCATTTCACATGGAGAAGCACTTGACGCACTAAACCTGCAGCATTTTTACCAACTGCGAGAAAAGTTAATCTGTTACAAGACCGCAAGAATCTGTTGGCAAATAATTTAGCTCTGCTTTTGCAAGCGTAATTACCACACACTATACAAGTAGCAGAAGTCAATTAGTATTCAGTTTTAGCGCAAATTTGTCGTTGTTTTGGCTTGTTGTTCAAACGATATATATATGGCGGGTAATGGTTTTTAATTACAAATAATACCTCTTTGAATGGGTTCTTAAACCTTGTAACAACGCGATGCTGTTCTTACCTATTGGTCGCGACACCTCTATTTGCGTTTCTTGGTTACAATAATTGAGTTGTGTTATCATAAGCCTTATTCGGCAGACTACTGACGAGTCTCGTGAGAGACGACTGGCCTATGGCGGGTTATGGTTTACCGATAATATATATAATCTATATATATATATATATATATATATATATATATATATATATATATATATATATATATATATATATATATATATATCATAACCCATATATATTTTTTTGTTTACAACTTTGCTTGCATGTTTGCCCGCACGATTGTGACTTTCTTGATAACAAAACTATATTTAGTCGAAAATCTCAGCAATTATACTTTTTTAAATTAATATTTTAATCTCCATGTTATACTTAATTTTTTTGTTTGTATTAAGGTAAAAAATTAACATTTTGTTAAAAAATTGTGTTATAAAATAAACAACAGCCTAGAAAGGTTTGCGTTTAAATAAAATTTTTAAAAACTATAAAACGTACATTTGTAACCAGTCCCAATGGTATAAGCAGGATTCTTTTGTTTTGTTACACAATGATCCGTATGTCCAACCAGAGATCGCAACTTGTAAGCCGGTCCAGGGCCTTTTATGTTTTTTATTTTCATAAATATTACTATGTTACTATGTGTTATCATCAATATAAGAAATTAACACTTGCGTACTTTTTTGCATGCAAAAAGGTTGGAATGGTTGTCCATTGATAGTTATTGGTTTTGACATTGCTTCGTTATTTGCATTCATAAAATGTTAAAGTACATAAAAGTGGTATATGCGACGCAAGCAAATGTCTGCGAATTCGCAAACGCTTTCCACGACGGCACATGCGAATAGCGCAGTTCTATCCTGTCTACACGATCTTTTGTTTAAGTAGTTATGGCAACTTCTAAACAAGCTTGTCAACATATAAATACAATGAAATGCTGGCCTTATATATACATACATGTTGAAGGAATGTTCACATACATACACATACATACATACATACATCAATTTTAAAAACACACAAGCAGATAATATGGAGATCAAGATTTGCTATTGATTGTACAATAAATGAGCTCGTGACGACGAATGAAATGAATCAAAATATCGATTAAACAACAATTCGACCAGTAGCTGATTCTTGCGCGTGATGAAAATTTATGTATAATATATATATTTACACGTGTAATAAATCAAGCTTTTTACAATATGAAAATAATCATAATTGTTTTTACTTTGTGACATGAACTTTAGACGTTTGAATAACATATTCAGTAAGTTCATTGAACCAGAGACCCAACAAAGACTGAAAAATGTGTTTAGTGAAACTTTTTATTTAATCAATATATTTATCAAACAATCATTTACCATCATTTATAAAACTTAAACGACATTGCACTCTCGTTTTTGCTTAGACTNTCCTGCATAG